ATTAATCACTGCTTGAAGCTTCATATGATGTGAAACTCCATGTTACATGTTGTTCCATGTTGTGGTACTTCTGAGGTCCATGCATCGTGATCTTGTAGCACTACTCTCACCAATTTGCAACAACATGTCAATTTTCATCTCATTGATCAAAAGTTGACTTATTGCTTCATTTTTGATGAAAACAATGAGATATGCAGCCAATCTTAGATGGTTTTTTGTTTCCTCTGGTTTGTCGGATTGAATTACCCCCTTGACTTGTTTTATATAAGAAAAATATATATGCATCCTCATCTTCCTCAACAGTTGAAGAAAGGAAAGAAGTTAGAAAGAAAGTTAGAAAGAAAGCATCCAGAATAAAGGGCCGAGGTGGGGGGAGGGGTGAGGGTGGAGGTGCACTGGGGTTGGAGTGTGATTGTGTGATTGATTGGCTCCATAAGCATAGGGACTCAATGCACTTCTTCTTCTTGTTTTCCATCTTGTGTTCTCCATCTTGTGTTCTCCATATTGAAAAATAAAATAAAATATGGCAACTGTGTTCATGTATTATTGATGTAAATAATATTTGGAAGCAGTCAGTTCATGTGAGCTCAACAAGTTGCAATGATTTACTTATCTTTAAGCCTTCAGTATTATTATAATTTTGTGACAAATGAAGGGTACTTCATCATGACTTTCAAAATGCAACATAAATTGACTATTTTAGTTACCAAGGCTCATTTAACATTTGAAAACTTGCATAATGAAGCCCCATGATGGTGTAAATTGCTAACAAAATTAAATTGATTGTGTTGTTTACAAACTAATAGATTGTTCTTTCATCAAAGTATATATGTACATATTAAACTATATTTTAAACAATAGTTATATTTTTGTTGACTGAATTTTCTTTATTATATTTCTTTAGTATATAAATGTAATTTAACAAACAGCATCTTTTAAATGTGATACCGCATCATCCTTTAGTTTATTATATCAAAAATATTTTTTAGGTAGATTTTTCTTTTTAATGTAAACCAAAATTTATCGATAACCAAGTATACTTTAATACCTTGACCTATGAAGTTAAATAATATTCGATTTGAGTTCCACAGTTTGGATTCATTCTTCAGTTTTGTATACATTGTGCATTTCATGGGAACTAAAATTTTATCAGATACAACCATGTTAGGAATCTCCATGACATACTTAGATGGGAAAAACTTATAACAAATTATTGCTGATTATTATTTTTAATTATATTTAAAATTTTAGTGGTATGACCTTTATATACTCAATAATAAATAATTAAGAAAAAAATTAAAGTGAAATAATTTGAATTATACAGCTCTTATTGATTACAAAGTATAAAATTAGAGGACCTATAATTAAAACTATTACACAAGAATATATATATATATATATATATATAGGCAAAACTGTAAGCAAATTTGGTCTTGCCTTGACATGTACCAATCAAGAAATAAAACTACGTGGAAGTATTTTAAAGACCACAAGGTTTGCAATTCAAGTCTCAAAGTTGGCAAAAGCTTCTATGGTGGCTTTTTAGATCTAAAATAATTCTAAAAAACATATCCATAGTCACGTTGTGTATCTACAGACACTTATTTTTAATTCTAAAAAGACTTCTTGAGACAAATGTTAACCATCTAACATATTATTGTTTATTTATTGTTTATTTGAACATTATATGTACTATTAAAAACATCATAAGAATTATTTGTTCAAATGACACAGCATTAACATTTTAGACTCAATTCTGATTTTAGCATAGATTGTATGAATTTAAATCTATAAGAAAAATCTGTATCCAAATAGTAAATATAACATCAACGTTAAGAGTTATAACGCAATTTTATTAATATAAGATTATTACACCACACAACTTTTAATTAAATAAAAAGTATGAATATAAATATTTCACATTACAAAACAGATGTGTTGCCTTTTCTATTGCATTTATCACTTCCTGAAAATTAAAAAGAAAAATACAAACAAAATCAAAGATTTTCACTGTTCCTAAGTTTTATGATTTAAGTTTTAGAAAATAATTTCTTGTGCCAACATATTTGGTCCTCAATGTACAACCACCAACAATAGCAGCATTCAGCATTCCTTATCCTGTAGTTATCAAATCTATGACCAAATACATGCACAAATTAGAATTTTTGTGTTGATTTGCTGCCAGAATCATGGAACTCAAAATAGCACCTGAGGTAAGACTTAAGATGTAAACTCTTGAGCAATTGTAAATCAGAAGTCTTTTACTGTTGTCTATTGTCAAGTAATGGTCAGTAGGACACCATTTTTCCTGATTTTGGAATCCCCCTTCAGCAGGTTCTGCTTTGGCTCCACTTGGAGCTGAGCCTCATTGGGCTTGATGATCAACTCTGTGATTCCATGTGCATCTCAATGTGGATCAATACAAAATTTCACATGTGAAAGCCTGTGCAACTTTTAATATGCATGCCTTTCAAATACTGTTGCTGCAATATCAATTGAATATAATGGGAACTAGATTAGATTATTATTATTTTTATTTATTTTCTGGCGTTTGTGAGTTACAAAATATGCTTTCAATAAAACCCATGATTCATAAATATCTGACACATGTTTTGATAGAAGAATTTTAAAGGATGAATATAAATTCGAGTTCCTAACTAATGAATAATATCATCAATTGCAGAAACTATTATCGTTAGAGGTAACAGGTAGATGGAGTCTAAATTGAAGTACTCAAAACGTCTTGACTTTTTATTGTAATTTATCTGATAAATTAGCAAATTTAAGATTCAATAGTTTAACTACTATCACGTTAAATACATTCTTTTAATTAATGAGGTATTTTTTTGTACGATATTCCAAGAATATCCTTAATGAGACACATCTTTGAAGTATTTAAGGTTTGAAAGCAACATCAGGATTAATTTTTCTAGCAAGCCAAATACCATTTAATATGCCCTCTAGAGGTTATCTATTCTAACCTATGTGGCTCTTTTCTAATTCTTTTATTATTAGACTTGAAATATGTTATTACTTTCATTTATGAGTTTTAAAAAATAATGTAGATAGATTTTATTGCTCATAAAAGTCAAAGTCTTAATAAGTTCTTCAAATTTAGAGAATTGGTAGAATTCAAATCAGAAAGAAAATTAGTAGAATCAAAAGTGATTGCGGTAAAAATTATACTTCACAAGCCTTTATTTATTATTGGAAAAACCATAGTATAGACAAAAATAACTTATTACAAAATATAGTTTGCAACATAACAATATTTTCAATTGAATAATACCACATTACTTGAAATAATTAGAAGTCTTTTTTTTGGTACAAAAATCTTAGTACAACTTTGAAAAGAGGCCATTAAAACCTCATTATATAAATAATAGGTACCTAATCCAAGCACTAAATAAGTTAATTTCTAAAGAGGTATGTACAAACATCAAACTTGATACTTCTATCCTTGAGATTTACAGATTTGTTGTGTTTGTTCACATCTTAGATGTAATATGTACCAAGCTACATTCAAAAAAAATTTAATGCATTCTAATTGGATATAATAATCTTAGAAAAATCCATCTTATTTATAATCCTACTACAAAAAAAAAAAATCACAAATAGTAAAGATGTGTTCTTTAATAAAATCAAATGTAGAATTTTAATCGCCATTGAATATGAGCCACTTGAGGATATACTATCTTAGGCTAATTTTTGGATTGTCTAATAAATTTTGCTTCATCTCTTTTATTTCTACTATCCAATGTCGTAAGTGCTTAATACCTCTATGTTTGCCATTTTCATCCTCATCCATTGCCACTTCTCTAATTGCAACTAATTTCTTTAAAAATCCTTGTACAACTTTACTAACACAATGGACCAACCAACCTTCATTTAAAATTCAATAGTCTCAGCTACCTACATCAATATAACTACCAATCTTCTAGTTACATAAACAAGGCATGCAAAGCATCAAGGTACATGACTATGATATTTACTATTCAACATCCAACTTTAATATGTATATTATCAAACTTGATTTGGTTGAGGTTTACACAACCAAGCTTGCAAAGGAAGACATGACAATAAATTGCACAAGATGCAAAAAAGATACTAGCAACAAAAAAAGAAATAAAATCAATTAAAAAGAATCACACCTAATCATTAGTACCTTTGCCAAAAGAAAATCAAGAAATTACTACAAAATAAAATTTCAAATTTAAAACATAAATAAAAGAAGGATATGAGATATTAAAGGCTATTAACAAGATATGTATTGAACTAATAACTTAAGCCAATAAAAATGTCACTGTAAGAATAAATCTTGTATTTATTACTATACAAATTATAGTAACTATGTTTGACTAGTTTGATGAAGATTAAGATAGATGAAGACTAGAATGAATGAAATTTTTTTAAATAAAGACCAAAATGGATGAAGATTGGTTGAATAAAGATTGATCACATGAAGACCATGATGCATGAAGATTCATCAGATAAAGACTAAAATGGATGAAAATTGATTGAATGAAGATTGGCCAAATAAAGACCAAGATGGATAAAAATTGGTTGGATAGTAATTAATTGGATAAAAAATAAGATAGATGAAGATTATGTTAAGACAAAAGTTAAAATTTGGATGATGGCTAGGATTTCTTTAGTAG